GCCTTTGTAACATAAGAGCACATAGATATTGCCAAACATAATGTATTGTGGTTACCATATTGGTTAGGATGCAAGTCATTGCTGTGAATACAGTTAAGTGCTGGATTCCTTGTAATTTCATTGCTGGTCTAACAATGTAGTTGATAAGTATAATGCCATTTTAAAATATCGCACCAAAGAATATGAAATTCTGATATATCATTATCGTAAAATGTCTTTTCCAGTATGTTGAAGTTAATGAGGAAGTGCATTGGTTACCACACTGTCCTGACGATGTGCCTGACCTGGACACTCTTGGGTCATGGTCGAGGGAAGGCAAGGAGAAATTAACAATAACAGATGAGACGGAATTCTGTAGCCCAAAGGTTTTGAAAGGCATTCTGAGAGCAAAGGTGAGATGAAATTAATGCTTTTATATTCATGTTATCTGCTTAGTGTTGATTGAGAGACCTATTAAAGTATTGCAGGTTTTGTTGATCCTGCTCTTGGACATAACTATAAAGCCCCCAACACCATCTCTTCTTCAGAAAAAAGATCCTTTAATGTAGCAAGACAGTATTCACTGTAGCCTTGTTTTGCAATTTTCTTTATGCATTTATTGATTTTCTTTTTATACTTATAAATTTTGTCAGTGCTCTTCAATTGGACTATCAGCAATTACAAGTCCTACGTTTCTCACTTGTTTACCTTTTTCCTTATTTTCAGAAATATTCTTTTCTATTTTCTGTTATTGATATTGCCAATTATGATCATAATGGTATTGATATAAATAGTATTCGAAAAAGCATTTTTCTTAAACTCAAAGAAAGAGGAAATCCAGTTCGGTCATGTAGGCCTACAAAGAAAGCATTTTTGGCTAAGTATTTGTGTAGTCATTATTGCATAAACAAAACTACAGTGAACATTAGAGGTCCTCAGCAGCAATGGGTTTACAAACTTTTCTTATCTATTTTCTGTGTTTGTCCTGTCTGGTTTGGTGATTTATAAACTGTTGATAACAGTTACACTCTGCTACTTTCTGTGTTTGTCCTGTCTGGTTTGGTGTTTCTGCTACCCAGACCTTTTGCTGAAAGTAGCCTAGTACTGTATGCTGACCAACATTTAATAGGAATGATGGACAGTAGCTCCAGGATAACTTCATGAAAAAGTGACATCATGAAATACTGTCTAGTATCAAAATCTGAACAATCTCAATTTATTCCTTAATTCCTTGAATCCGGATGACATGAGCATCATGTCATGAAAATTTTTGGCTAAGGGCCATGTGATGTGAACTTGCTGTCATGAGAATTTTGGCTGAAGGCTGTGTGACAGGAATGATTTGACACATGTGTTCAAAATTCTTGGACTCTGATTAGACTCAGAAGGCATTTAGGAAGCATTATTACCACGGGCAAATAAATGTGGGATATACCGTCTGTGAGCCATGACTGACACGATGAATAGTATGCTCCAGGGAGGACACTATATCCATGCTTAGTATCCCATTCCTGCCTACTGTGACAGGCAGCACCAGATGTATTACAAAATGACTCAAATAATAAGATATTACTATTTGTTATTGTTATTGCACAGACTTATAGACTACTTATAGAGATGATAAGGAGTTGTGATACAGTATATCAGATGACTAATATAGACCTTGGAAAATGGATAAAAGGCCAAACATGCTTCAGGTTTTATAGCATATTATGTATTGTTATATGCCCTTTGTATTTTTGTCTGATTTTTGTGGTCTATGTCAGTGGTGAATACTGAAAACGCCATCTGTTCGGAGTACTTTCTCAATCCCATGAAATATCCACTTCACAGCTTCCTTCAACTAAAGCAAACAGTTTTATGTTATTTTTTGTCTATTCACATTACAGACCATATTTGACCAGCTTGATGCGAGGGAATTACAGAGAAGCAGGTCGAGGAGTAATCCTTTTGAGACCCTGGGAAAACTTTTCTTCCAAAACAGAGCAGCTTTGAAAATGGCAAATATGGATGCAGTTTTTGACTTCATGTTCACAAGGCCTGTAGATGAAACTGGGGTAAGTTATTTCTCTTTTGCTTTGGTCATGTTTGCCTGGGATTGCTTTTGCATTTTTCATGAATATTCTCTATCACATGTAATTTGCTATGCTACTTTTTTTTTTTTTTTGATATAGCAAAATATAAACAAAAGATCTTATAAACTTACTTTGTTTGAAGTGTTTTGTTTCCCTCTTCTTTTTTGTTATTTATCTAGTGAATTAAGTGTAATGGTGCGTGAATATCTTACTATCATCTAGTGTTGGTATCTTCGAAACAATAAATTTTCCTCTGCATGATTTCAATAATGCCTTAATGTTATATTTCATCCTTTATTTTTTGTATTCATTTATGTTTATATACTAATATTTTATATTATACATTATCTTTTATTCAGGAATCATTAGTTGGTCCTGATGAGGTGCTATACTTTGCTGATGTGTGTGCTGCCCCAGGTGGTTTCTCAGAGTATGTTCTCTGGAGAAGAAAAACAGATTCAGAGAATTTCTGTGATGCTAAAGGATTCGGGTTTACCCTACGTGAAAATGACTTCAAACTCCATGATTTCTTTGCAGCCCCAGCTGAGTTCTTTGAACCACATTATGGTGAGTTCTGTTGCAGTTGGGTGTGGTAGATCTGATTTGTTGTAAAAGCAATATGTGTGCTTTTATCTGTAACAGCAGTGCTATTTTCTCAGCTGTAAGGAGCAGTGATACAAATATGTGACTTTATATTAAGGAAAATACCTTGCACTTGTATTAGTAATCAGTAATTTTCTTTTTTGAAAATCATCTTAAGAGTAGTAAATTTATGTCATTTATGATGTTTCTTTCCCTAGGTATTAATGGTCGAGATGGTGATGGAGATGTGTTTCAGCCAACCAACATTTCAAACTTTGTAAATTTCGTCCGCAAGAGTTCGGGAGGCCAGGGAGTCCACTTCATGATGGCTGATGGAGGTTTCAGTGTGGAGGGCCAGGAAAACATACAGGAAATATTGTCCAAACAGCTGTACCTCTGTCAGTTCATAGTTGCTTTGGGCATTGTGAGAACTGGTGAGCTTAAAATTCTCTCTTATTTTTTTAACTCATTGGCAATGGGGCAGAAATTGATGGCTTTATTATAGGAAAACTTTTTCCTCATATTTTTCAGAAGTTATAGGGAAATAGATAATCTATATAAGAGTTATAAATGTTTTTCTTTTAGAGTAAATGTATACTAGTATATATAAGTTTATGAATAAATATTTACATAGTTATTATGTGCCTAAAAGATCTTTTGCTCTCTTTAATTCCTCAGGAAATAGAATATAAAATAAATCATGATGCTATATATATGTGAAACCCAAGTAATAAGTGGAGATCACTGAGAAACTCATGTTAGGAACGGGTTTAGTCAGGAGCCAGCAGGTTTTATTGGTCCTCTGTAGGGGAGAGCACAGTCATAAGAAAGAGTAAGATCACCATAGAGGTCAAGGTGGTAAATATAGTAATGAGATATTGCAATATTGATTAGAAAGTATGATTGGCTACATACGTAGCCATAATTATGAAGTTTTTTTTTATTACACATGTTGAAGTTTTCATATGCCTCCCCACTCCCCCCCCTCCCCTTCCCCTCCTCACTCCCCTCCCTCCCACTGCCCCCCCTCCCCTTCCACTTCCCACTCACCTCCCCCTTCCCCTTCCCACTCCCCCCACTCCCCTCCCTCGCCCTCTCCTCCTCCCTCTCCCGCTTTCACCCTCACTCCCTTTCCCTCCCCTCCCCTCTCCCCCTCCCCTCCCCCCTCTCTATCTCCCTCTTCCCCTCTCCCCCTCCCCCCCTCCCTCTCTGCTTCCCCTCCCTTCTCCCTTCACCCCCTTTACCTTCCCTCTCCCTTTCCCTTTCTCCCTTTCCCTTTCCCTTCTTCCCTTTCCCTTTCCCTTTCCCTTTTCCCTTTCCCTTCCCTTTCCCCCTTCCCTTTCCCCTTCCCTTTTTTTCTTTATCCCAACCCTCTCCATAAACTCTATAACCCTCTCTATCTCCGTCTCCCTTTCCATGATGTTTATCAATGATAATAAACTTTTCTATTACAGATGGGCATTTTGTGTGTAAATTGTTTGATGTATTTACATCATTCAGTGTTGGCCTCATATATTTTGTACCGTTTTTAAATACGTCAGCCTCCACAAACCTAACACCAGTCGACCTGCAAACTCAGAAAGGTGAGAGAATAGATTTGCCTTGTGTAGATTGCATATTATTAGTGGGTATTATTTAGATTTGGAAAAGCAGTAAGCAGACTTACTTGACTTTGGCCATACTGTGGATGATATTTATTATTGCAGATGAAAAAGATTCCTACTGAAGAATGATATCTGACTATAATAGGCCAGGTTTTTTGTCTTGCATGCTGATGTGGACAATCATCTGAAAGTATGTTTAACAAACTGAAAAAAGTAAAAAGTCGGTTATGACTAGAGTAATTGATAATGATAAAAAAAATGATATTCAAAAAGAATTTATAAAAGTGTCAAGAATTTTTAAGTGAAATTATATGAACTCCCTTCTTATCATTAGGCTCTACGAACAGGAATTGATTATATATGTAATTTTTATATGTCTTATGTTTTATATTTCACTCTCTTTATCTCTCAGTCTCTTAAGAGTAGGGTTCTAAGTTTGTAAGTGATTAAATGCCATCCTATAAGTATATGAGTAGTGTGGTTCTGTTAAGTAATTCCCTGATTACTGCTACTTGTGTACCTTGTGAGTGTAACCTGTTCAGTGTACAGGAGTCCCTATAGTGTATAAGAAAGGTGTGGCAAACACTCATATTTATTACACTATTTATTGCTTGACTCTATTTACATAGTTGTAGGATAATTGCTGTCCTTGATCATATCATAATCTGCAGTTCCTCTTAATTAAGGGACTCAAGACTCAACTCAGGACTTGATTTGCTAAAGTAAACTGCAGTATTATGTCTTGTAAGACTTAGATTTCATAGTTGGCACTGATATACCAATCTTGGAATTACTAGTGTTTTCCATAATGGTATAAAAAGGTAAATTTTTATGAAGTAAATGTAAAGGTTCTTAGCCTTTTCTCCATGTCCAGTGACATGTAATTTTGTTATTCAACAGAGGAGAAGATATGATCTTGTCTTTGGAAGTTATGTATTATAATTTTTGAAGTTGAGTGATTGCCAAGATTTATTTAACAATACTGTATCAGACAAATAAAAATGTCTGTTGTAGATCGAGATTAGTTTAAGCAATGATAATAACAATAATAATGTGGGCACACATTGAGTGATCTATCAATATGACTTGTATGTTCTGTTGGTTGCCACCTCCCCTTGTGAAGTTGGGGTCCTAATCACCTGTGGCATCAGTCAGGCTCAAACTCCTTTACACTGAATACCTGTGATATCACAAATAGATTTACATTGAGTGCAGTACCATCTTTGAAGACAGTTTTATGTATTTTCAGGTATATTATTTGTAAATGGAAGAGAGAAGGAATAGAAGATGTATATGAGTACCTCTTTGAAATGAACCAAAGAATTGCTGGCCTAAAATCTACAGGTATTGATGTTCTGGAACTAGTACCTCTTGAACATTTAAAGAGTGATAAAGATTTCACTGAGTACATCATCAATTCTAATAATACGTAAGTATTCTTAGCTTATGAAGAGGTAACTGTAAGTTGATTCTGTTGTTGTTCTGTTTTACTCAGCATTTTTTACATATATGGCAAATATAGTTGGTTAGGCTCTAGAATCACTTTTTATAAAATCTTTTAGGATAGTATCTAGCTTAGAGATATTGAATTGTGTCTAATGTCAACTTTATTTACCTTATGAACAGTTACTACTGTTTTAGATCATGATGGATAAGGGAATAGTTACAAAATTAAAGTCAGTTGATGTTTTGATGATCACTCTTGAATTGTTTTCCTTTTTTATTATCAACATGTTGAATAGTCTAAATAGGTAAAGTAGAGAAAGATTGGACTGTTCTTTCAGATATATAATACTTTACTTTTTCATATCTTTTCAGCATAGGTTTCAGACAGATAGTAAGTTTACGCAAAATACAAGTGTATTGTCAAGACACCCAGTTGATTGAACCGCGACAAGCAGAGCTTCGTTCACAGTGTCTGGAACTTTGGCAGCTCCCAGATAGAACAAGAACAGCTCCACAGCGCTCTGAAGCCAAGGTCAAATTCATGGAACTCTTGAATGGTGAAAACCCAGGTATGAGCTGCATTGCATTTTATGATAGTTCAAATTTTTAGAAAATTATAGATTATCCATGGATGAATATAGGTAAAGTGAATACTAATTATTTAGTAATTCACATTCCAGAGTTTTATATTGTAAGTAAAATTATACTGATATAAAAGTCAAAGACTAACCATAATTGCTTGTTTGCTCTTTGCTAGCTAGGTTACAAAATGTGAATGATTGCAGATTACATGTGCCATCCGCCTGAAGACCTCTCACTGGGCAACTTTAAGGAGAAACTCCGAAGTGCCTATGATTACCGCTGCATGATCCTAGCCTCGACCCGAGATGGAAGGAAAGATAGAGCCTTTTATCTGGGTAAGGAAAGAGATAATTGTGTTTTACTGCAGTAGCCAAACTTTTCTTATAGTTTAAGTTTTTTTTTTTCTAGTATTAGTGATATGTTCAGTTATTGTTGCAATTGTAACTCATAATCTAGTAATAATTGTCACTGCACTTTCTCAGTGTGGCAATATTGGAAACAGTTAATAGAACAAAGATCATTAAGTGCAGTAAAAAGAAAATATGGTAATAATAAGACCTGTATATTTCATTGAAACAAAAAACTGCTATCGAACTGCAGCCTACATGAGTTTAGTTATCAGTTAGTAACTAGATTAAAAACAAAATGTCAAGTCACTTATGCCTTTATATTGTTAATTAATTTATCTTTATTGAATACAAATTACACTTTCTTTACCATTTCCTTCCCTAACTAAAGTTTCACCCCGGGCAAAAATTTCTCCATTTAGATATGTAGTTCCTCCCTACTGAGAAAAAAGTAAGAGTACTAAAAGAGTTATTATATCTCACCTATAGGACTTGGTGGTTGCAATGTGTTCCGATGGGAGGGTAGGGCAGTTAGTTCCTGGATGCGTGTGGACACAAAATTGGAACTCCCACCCAATACCCTGGTTTATGCAGAGTTGGTTGTGGAACACCGAGGGGAACACAAAGCACAGCGCAAACTAACGACATTCCATTTGATAGATGGAATAGTACTCAATGGGAAGGATATCAGAAACTTACATATTGTTGAAAGGTGAGTGAGAGGATAAATCTAAATTGGGTTAGATGAATTGCTGATGATCATAATTATGAATCTTTTGAATGAAGTTTACAATATTCCATTTGAATATATCATTAGAGAACATTTATATTCCTTTTGTTTTACCTTCAGTACTCACTCTTGATTTTTGAACCCTGCAGACACAACTACTTAAGAAAATTTGCTCTTGGTCTCAATAAACCAAGCAGACCAGACCTGGCACCCATAAGATGCAAACAGCTGTACAAGTTAGAAGACCTTGGGGATGTCTTGGCTCCTCCCAGGTCAGGTTATCATTAATTAATTAATTTAATTTAATTTAATTATTATTTAATTAATTAATTTAATTTAATTATTATTTAATTTAATTATAATTTAATTAATATTAATTTAAGTTAGATTAAATGTTATCCAGGGAGGAGGATCTTCTTCTTCTTCTTCTTCTTCTTCTTTTCTTCTTCTTCTTCTATTCTTTCTTCTTCTTCTTCTTCTTCTTCTTCTTCTTCTTCTTCTTCTTCTTCTTCTTTTCTTCTTCTTCTTCTTCTTCTTCTTCTTCTTCTTCTTCTATTCTTCTTCTTCTTCTTCTATTCTTCTTCTTCTTCTTCTATTCTTCTTCTTCTTCTTCTTCTTCTTCTTCTTCTTCTTTCTTCTTTCTTCTTCTTCTTCTTCTTCTTCTTCTTCTTTCTTCTTCTTCTATTCTTCTTCTTCTTCTTTTCTTCTTCTTCTTCTTCTTCTTTCTTCTTCTTCTTCTTCTTCTTCTTCTTCTTCTTCTTCTTCTTCTTCTTCTTCTTCTTTCTTCTTCTTCTTCTATTCTTCTATTCTTCTATTCTTCTATTCTTCTTTCTATCTTCTTCTTCTTCTTCTTCTTCTTCTTCTTCTTCTTCTTCTTCTTCTTCTTCTTCTTCTTTTCTCTTCTTCTTCTTCTTCTTCTTCTTCTTCTCTTCTTCTTCTTCTCTTCTTCTTCTTCTTCTTCTTCTTCTTCTCTTCTTCTTCTTCTTCTTCTTCTTCTTCTTCTTCTTCTTCTTCTTCTCTTCTTCTTCTTCTTCTTCTTCTTCTTCTTCTTCTTCTTTCTTTCTTTTCTTCTCTTCTTCTTCTTCTTCTTCTTCTTCTTCTTCTTCTTCTTCTTCTTCTTCTTCTTCTTCTTCTTCTTCTTCTTCTTCTTTGTTTCCTGCCTGCTGTCTTCCTCCACAGACAATACTAATTGTTAAGTAACAATCATAAAATCACCTGGGATTCTGTTGTCTTTATACTGTTATATATAGATACATATGAATAAGTACATTCTTAGTGTATTTGTTAATTTTGATATTTCAAACTCCTGAAAATCGGGTATTATTTGTCGTTGAAAAGCAGACAAAAGGGCAGATTTGGTGTTCTAGGAGTTAATGGGCAGATAGAATGGACAATTATGCTACACATTTAGCAGCTAAGGCTTGATCTTTTTTTTCTCTCTCTTGCTAAAATACCTTTTTCTCAAATATGTATGCTTAGGAACTCTAAACCAACTGGCAAAATGTTGATGGAGGCTTGGTGATAAAATATGTGTAAGCCATTCTGCATGTGATATGTTGTGAGGTACTCTTCAGTGTCTGGATTTTGTTATTGATATGACTTGAAAAATATGTATAGTGTTTGTATGCCTGCATGTGTGGGTGTTTTTGTTTGTTTGTTTGTTTTAGTCCAAGTGAGAGTTTGCATATAGGTGCATTGGTGTGGGTGTGTTTATTTGTGATTACCTGAGTGCATCTCCCCTCTGAGTTGCATTTTGATATGATCATACTATTCCTTTTAATCAGTCACATGAAGTTTCCTGGACCTTCTCAACATTTTTTTTTCTTTTTCAGACTGCACCATAGGTTGATGAAAGGAGGATCTCTACCCAGAAGAGTATACCTTGAAGTGGAAGGTGACTCAGACAGGGAATCGTATTACACCATTCCCACAGCACTGCTTCTGGTCAAATCTACCAAAGGTATGATTGGATCAGTTAATTATGAGGATGATTATCATTCTTTGAGTGGCAACTCTCCTGGGTGTGTGGCTTATAAGGCCAGCCCATACAAATCAGTTTCACATCATATTGCCTCCTCTTTTCAATACTATCTTCAGGGAACAGACTACTCTGATACTAAATAATACTGTTATGGCACTCTTCAATAACAGTTTCATTTAGTAACATTGTACCAGTTGTTTTACTTTGTATTTTTGTATTATTACCACCTGTAGTGGTGAGCAGGAAAAGGTTCCTGTGTGTGGAGATAGTATTCTCCCTGGAGATGGCCCTCTTCAATGGTAAACTTCACCCTCGTAGACTGCTGGAAATCTTGTGGAGCTAGTGAATGAGTCCATTTCTAAACATCAGCTTACTCAATCTCAACCACCTAACACGTTCCAGTGATCCCTCCAGATCCATTAGGTTAATAGTCTATTGTATGCATCATTACCATCCGTTTTTTTAGAATTTAGTTAAACAGCTCAAGGAACTGAAATGAAATATTCCTAATATATTCATAGATCTTTTGTGATTTCGAGAGGGATATATGGAGACAGAGATCTTTAGTAAATATTTTAATTGGATATATATATATTCTTCACTTCTGTTATAAACTTATCCCCTACGATCCCGATGATGTTATGGTCTTGTCATAGAAACATCTGGGTCGAGGGCCGGGTGACATGAACATGCCGTCATTGGACAAAATGTCCGTGGGCTGGGTGACACAGACTTGTCATCATGAGTGAATGCCAGAGTGATGGAAAGCACATGCCATGAGTGCACAAACCTCTTGGAGTATGATTAGACTCATTTGGCACTTAGAAGGGGGCTTTTGCATTATTCCCATCGATAAACAAATGTGGAATGTAAGGTATGTAAGCAGTGACTGGAAGAGCATTGGCTTCAGGGAGGACACCATTTCCTTACTGCACATCATATTCCTGGCTGCTGTGACTGGTGGCACAAGTTGTATTATGAAAAATTGAAAATTAAGAAAGAATATGTGACACAACCAAATGTTCCATACTGTTACTGTACTGTTATTTACAACATAGAGAGATCATAAAGAGTCTTTGCAAGCTATTACCATCTGAATAAAGCATTATAGAAATAAAAAAAATTATAAAATTATAAAAAAAAAAGCATGAAGAAAGACAAATATAGACATTGGAAAAGGGCAAAAAAGCTAAAAAGTTTATGCAAAAAAGCTTTGCAAAGGGGAGGCACAGTCTTGTTATGAGTGTTTGTGCGTGCCCGGTCTATAGACTGCACGCCCAGGATATTGGCTACTTACATAACCCACTTCCTGTATTTTCGGCACTGTGATTTCTGTCACACAACCAGATGCAAGGGGTTCAAAAATCATAATGTTATTACAGAGAAGTAACACTTGTTGCTCATTGTTTTATAAAACTTTATAAACAGTTGTAGTTTTCATTGAGAAAGGTAAACATTTTAGCCTTTTTTTAAGCCTCTGTTCTGTACTAAAAGCACAAATAATTTACAAACGTCAATTTATATGAATGTTAAATGAGAAAAGCTGCATATACACCATGTGGCTCAGCATTGTATTAACCATTGATCAGCCTTAATTCACATGTTTGTTGGCTACAGGTTATGAAGGGTGAGTGAAGACACCATAGGCCAGTCACCTGCTCTAATACCATTAAGGTATTAGAGCAAAATGGAGTACCTTCAAAATGTGATAACCTACATTTTCCAGCATTTTCTCAGAATTAAGATTTGATTTAGATTTAATTCTGTGGCATTCTCAGCATCAGTTATTCATTTGACACTGAGGCCCATCAAATAATATGAAAGAACATATTTTTTTCAAAATCAGAATGGCATTAGCCAGCATCTGTAAACATTTTATCTACAATGTATTTAAAAAGATTAATGAATGTGCAGAAAAAATAATCAATATTTTCTTTTTCTTTTAGAACCTTGGATGATGGCATTCAGTAAGAGTCAAAACAAGAAGTATTGGTTTAATACATTGACAAGACACTCTACCTTTGAATGTCAGCAGGAATTCATAGCACCATTTAGGTAAGCATATTACAAGCTTGGTGTAAGATTTTCCTTTTCGTAACCCCACTGGGAACATGTATTGTTCACTGTAGTTTTGTTTTGTGAAATGTCTTTACACATATTACCAAGCTAGTTTGTGTTATTGGATTACAGAGATAGTGCTGTCATGTCAGGCTTTTCAGGAAGCCTTTACTTCAAATTGACAGATTGTAGGTAGCTTATCTCATGAAAATGAATGTTTAGAAACCAGTAAAACATTTCTCAATATCATGCTTCATATGCCATGCATCATTTGGGTCTCAGCCCTGGATCTGATACTACTGAAACTTTTAAGCTTCAAAAACACTATGCATCCCAATATTTTTTCAGGTATAGATGTACTCACCATCTCTTTTTATATATTTTTTCTGATGATTACAATATTAATCAGAACAGTGGTAGTATCAGTTCCATTATCCAGTGATTACACATCATGAACTCGGCAGGGAAATGTGACCCAAATTATTTTTCACAAATGTCTGACAATACTATCTCACAAGTTATTTATCTCATGCTGCTCACCACCTGCAGCACGATGCAAAAGCTCCAAAATCGTAAAATTGAAATTATGTTAAGGGTATTTGGCTTTTGTAACAATTAATTTTTTGAAAAGCAAGTTTGAACTTTTCAACTATTGGATCACAAATCCATGGTTTTATCAGACCATATCAGTTACAATGCTTTATTGTTCTCAGTGAATATATAATTTGCTTATTTTTTATTTTTATGTAATAATATTTTGGGTTATCAGTATTTTACTATTATAAATGATTTATAGTTGCTATTGTGAATAATTGTTAAATTCAACATCATTATTATTACTGATGTATTATTTTCATGTGTTTTTTCCCAACAGTTCTTCATACAGTGGGAGCCTGATATGGTGGTGGGACAACAGTGTTCAGGTTCTCAGCAATGACGAACCAGCCAAAGGCCGGCTCCACCGTGATGACCTGCTCTCCCACCTTATCAGAGTGCGCTAAATGCCCTTGCACAGCTTATAATCAATTAGCCCTGTACTTTAATTTTTGTGTGGGAAGTTTCTGTGAAATTTCTTATTTGAATTGTGGAGATTACTCAAAAAAATGAGATAGTGGGTGAAGTTTCATTTGAATTGTATCTTGCCATTTTTCTATGGAGAAAATGTAGGTAGGTTATAATGTTTTGGAGGTACTCCATTTTGTTTTAGATTTTTATGTCTGATTTTGATATCAAAATCTCAAGAGTGAGGATTGAGATGTTTTATTAATGTACAGTCAGAGACACAGCTATCGTCCAGATTTTGGCAACAGCATAATGGAAAGATTGAGATCATTTATATGTCTGTGATATGTTTACAAGCAGCAGACATTACTGTTCACTGGGCATAGTTATAACTTGGGCAGATTTCAGCCATTCATTTATTACCACATGTAGGCTGAGCTTGTCAGGTCTGTGAACATTATTTCTTTCATTGTTTCATCCTGTCAGGATGTTCTGCTTATATTATGTGTTTAATGTAGTACAGCCAGTAAAGGCAAAGTAAAGTGCAGGCGTAGAACAGATGCCTATCTATAGTTCACACAAACTTCTATCACCATACCACCAACATAAATGAATACCAAATATTAATCTTATTTTGTAAAACTATCAAGTGGTAATGTAACGCATAATGTAAACTGCTGGTTACTGTTGTTTCATCTTTATATGCTTTTTAGATTCATGAAGGCCCCTGAAAATATGCTGTTCCATACCAAATATTGTTCAGTAGTCCAGTTTCTGAATCATGAATACTGATTATACTCACATATTTTAAAGCATTACCAGAATGGAATCCCAAGTCTCCAGCTAATCATGCATATCAACTAAGCTTATATTGTTATTGAGTATTATAATGTTTTGATAACTTTAAGTCAAGAAAAAAGATAGTTGTGTTTCAACTGTACATAAAAAAATGTTTTACTGTACTGTGTAACTGGTTTGTCTTAAAACAAGTGAAACTTGAAAAACTTGTGCACTGTTTACCATTTCTTTTATAATTTTATTTATTCAAACATTAAATCCTCCATGATAATGTAGACTGGTAACCCTCCACATTATATACTTCTATGCCATTCAACCAAGATGTTTCATTGGCAATGCCTGATTCAGATTGGATACTTCCCAGTTCAACCAGTGCACCAGGTACTAACATGGCTCAAAGTTCAAAGGTGCTAGTGTTTAGGAAGCTCATGAACCTAAGAAACATTTGCAGTGTTGAAAGTATGTGCATGGCAAGCTTTCCCTATAATTACATTTTAACACAAGTCATTCAGCATGTTTTGTGGTAAATGAAAGCTGCTTTCAAGTGAACAAAGGTTGTGAAAGCTTTTGTAAACAATTTATGGTTATCATTATTCCTACTTAAATTATTGAAATGCATTATTTTTATCTGGGAAAGTTGATAATAGCATGAAAATGATATTTGTTTACATAAGAATCCTGTTGAATGGCTAGAATAAATAAATTTATGAAGTTAAGTAACTGTCAATCAAGTTCAGAAATTGTTTGTGGAGAAATGAGTACTATCTTTCTTTTTTCCCTTCTCTCTCTCTCTCTCTCTCTCTCTCTCTCTCTCTCTCATGCACAAACAAACATATATAAACACACACACATCCATAAACACTGCTTCCTGCAGAACAGAATAAAGCCTAGCACTACTGGGTTCATGCTATATCAAACAAGTATTACATGGTTGCATGTTAAAGGAGGATCTAGTGCATTTTATTTTAATAATTATTTTACACTGTTGACAGTATTTAAACCCCACAGTATTTTATTTGTTTACATTGGGCTGTATGAGATCAGTCTTTGGAATATATTTAAAACATTCCAAGTTCTTCAAGATTTCCGTAAGTAGTTTTTGGAAAAGTTCCACATAAGAACTTATTTACCAGTTGTAAAGTGCCTACAATCAGTTTAATAGAGAATGGCATTTATGTTCATTTATTTTGATAATCTGTGATGAAATATGTTAAATCTTTTAACTAGGTGATTAGTACAAATTTTTATGGGAAAAATATCTACACCTAGGCCATACATTAATTATTGGACATGATTTTTTTCTTTGTAAAATGAAGTCGTAAAGACTGTTAAGCTAATTTTTACACACAGATGTGTGCTATGATGAAAATAGCACAGTGTAAGACATGTGTATTGATATGAAGCACTGTTTAAGGATGCATAAAATTTCTTACCTGGAATCTTTTAGTTTACTTAACCCATTTAGCCTGGGATAATGTGTGGTCCTCTGTAGCTTTTAGCGAATTTTGTTACAAACAGATGGCTCCACATGTACTCTGCCACCAAGGAGTCTCTAATGATCGCGCCTGACTTACCCATTCCTTGAAATGTTGGGAAAATGTGTTTTTCCTTCTAACACTATTCATAATAGTATTATGATTATTGAAATAGGTTTAAATTATCAATAACATTAAAGCCAACAAAATAATATAAAAGAAGGGTTTCAAAAATCAAGGAAAATGGTAAACAGGTGAGATAGGCAGTACTAATAATAGTGAGATAGGCAGTACTGAGACTCCTAGGTGACTAAGTACTTGTCGAGCCATCTATGTGTAAAGACAATAAATAAACTTATATAATTATGGACATGGCAAGTATTCTTGCCAAATATGCCAATTGAGTTAATGTCCTCTATGATACTTTCAACAAAGTTTTTATCAGAGAATTTGGGAATAAACGCAGGGATTAGTAAAAGGGGAAAAGCGGGATAAGGGTGATTAGATCAAATGGATGGGTATCTGAGCCTGAGGAAGGAAAATAAGTGGTCCAAAAGAAAAAGTGGGGGATTCCCTGATAATATCCAACTGTTTATGGGGTTAGGGAAGAGGGGACAAGTGTGCAAGGCGGTGGGTTCACAAAAGGGGTTAGGGAAGAGGGGACAAGTGTGGAAAAGCAGAGGCATGGGTTCCAGTAAAACGGATATGACAATGATTGGAACAGCAGTGGAAGGAAATTTTCCCTACTTGTTTTTGGAGATACTGTTGAAAAGGAGAGTATTGTCAGAGTAAAGTTTGTAGGGGGAATCATAAAAAACTGATCCTACTTGGCTGGGGTAAAAAGTCCTCAAAATATATGTTGAGGAGGAAATAGTACAAGGACTAGGATGGAAGGAAGAGGGAGTGCTGTGGAGTGAGGTAGTAAAGCTGGGAGTGTAATTGGGATGAAAATGCAAGATGGGGCAGAAAATGAAGAAAACTGAGCTGGATATGCAGATGGAGTGGAGGATGTGAGAGATGAAGGAAAGTATTCCTAAGACAAAGTAATGACCTGGGTGGATGATTTGGAATGGATCAAGCTGACACCAAACATTGAGGAAGGAGTAGCCATAGCAGTGGTCGGAGCCGTGATCTAAGTATAGTTAGCTGTTGGGAAACCATAGGTTACATTAAGGCAGGTTAGATGGATAATGGGGCAAGACTTAAGCGTACAAAATCTTTATTTTCACCATTGTGAGCCTGATGTATGTGAGGAAGAGAAATGGTATATTCCTCAGGGTCCCCAAGAGCTTAATCAACTTAAAGTTGAAGGGGCTGCCATCTCAAAGGTGAGACGACCTGGCAGTGACATGGCTAGTGAAGGTGGTTGCACCTATTACTGGTTGAGCTGCAGTAATGGTAATCATCTTCAGGGGGTAACCATTGCCATATCCAGCAAACTTTAGCCTTCAGTAGAAGAGGCAGTTCCAGTTGATGAGCTTATGATAGTAGACACTAAAGCACTTGTGTCTTATGTGTAAACTTTTAACATTTGCAAACTTGGTGTCAGTCCCGATTGGTTGGGTGCTGGTAGCAACAGTATGAATAGCCTCCTTTGTAGTCTCACTCACTCACATAAAGACCGCATCCACATCTACATACTAATACGCTTTATGTGAAGTACTTTCAGGTTTGTTGATTGAAGCACAAAGAAATTATGTATTATTTATTAATAGCAAATCCACTGAACCCCTGGAATTACAAGATCATACTGTATTTGCAAAACTAATAAGATTCCATTAATGATTAGAAAAAAGAAAAAAAAAATGTGGCACAACATATGTAGTATAAATATATATATAAATCTGATATACACATAAATCACAAAGAAAAGAAAAGAAAATAATAAAAGGGAAAAAGAAAATAGGATACATGGTAAAAATGCGTCCTATCCTAGTACACTTGTTTTGGCATAATCAAACTTGCAAAATATGGTGTCGATATTGCACCAACATAACTGGCTTAGGCCTACAGGGGAAAAAAGGCAAACCCTAGAAAAGCTGAAGAAAAGGCCCTGAAGAATAAAATTAAGTACAGAGAATTCTTTTTTTTTTTTTTTTTTTACAATATTTTATTTACTCTATCACTCATTCTCTCTCTATCCTTTATACAAACACTCTGAAATGCTACAGCTAATCATTTCAAGGTGCGTCTCATAATTGAAAATGAAAATACCTTTTTCTCTCTAATCAATGAGCACTTTATAAAAATTAACTTCAGAAACCTGTTCAAAAATTATGTAATCTCAAACAACTTCAAAGTACAAAAAAAGAAAATAGCTGTAGGTACTTCAGTGTTTCCACATAATAAAATGCTAATGCAGTACTGTATTGTTAAGCAGCACTTTTCTGAATCAATTCTCATGCTTTCACAAGGTAGTATATTTGATCACGCAAGTGTTTCTTAATGTATAAAGACTGACACACAACAAACAATGATTATATGTCATCAAGCAACACAGGTATATCTGAAAAAGCTTTTCCTTAACCATTTCTCTACAACTGAGGAAATCGTTCAGCCATAGCTGGTTAATGATTCTTTAAACAGCCAACTATGCCTTTGGAAAAGATATGAAGAAGGTTTTGCTTTTATAAGGCCTAAAAAGGGTTTACTGAGGTTCTTTACAAGCTTTGGGAACATTTTTGTCACTGGAGATAATCTAGACAGAAACTAATCTTAAAGCTAAAAAAATGTGAGTGGGTGAAGGTACAATCTAAGATAGAATCATCTTCCCTATTTTGTCTAATTACTTAAACTCTCCACACATTATAAGACCCAGCTGGTGACAATAAATGGTTATGTGATATGCCTCATTAAGAGGTTTGAGGTTAATTTTTGGATGTTTTGTACCATTTGAGCATGATCCATTTGAAACCTGATTGCTGAAAACTCTCTAATATGGAAAGGCACATTTAAAGGGATCATAAAGGTATGACATCAAAAGAGCAAGTAGTGAATGTAAATGCTGACAATATGGAGACTTCTGCTTGTGTGAACATTAGTTGTGTACATTTCCATGACATCTGTAATTTACTATGAATTCCCTCTGTGCTCAACTATATACAATATGGATAAAGCATCTCAAGTGCCATTAAACTCCAAAAGATATAATGCTCACACACCTGATACAAGCTCAATCCACACATGTGCTGGTACAATAAGAATAACTAAAATGCACAGTTATTGCTAACAATGAATTATAAACGAGACTTCTATAATAAATATCAGGCCTATCATCTGTACATGTATGTCACAGACACATGTAAACACAGTCAATCTTTCTGTTGTGTTTATCAAAATGTGAGAAGACAGTTGTATCTTAGATTATAAAAGATGCAAAGGAAGAAAAAAGGTAAAAGAAATGATATGCTTAAAACCATAGTACAAACCCCTAAAGGTTGCTGCTATGGATCCTGCTATAGAGGCTAAATATCGGTATCGGGTAGCTTGACCTTTGTGGGCAGAGGTGGCGCTTGCTGCTCTTCCTCTTCCATAAGACTGAGCTTGGTAAGGTCTTCAGGGCGAACCAGTTTGATGGGCAGAGGCAGTGGGTCAGCCTGGACACTCAATCCATTCTGGGGATAAACAATGGTAAGCCCAAAATGCACTTTGGAGGAAGACAGACAACAAAGAAGAAAACCAATTTTCAAAAGTATTAAACCTAAAATAAACTCTGTTGGTATAATGATTTTAAAACATACAAACACTTTTCCTTCATTCCCACTCTCCCTACAACCATATTTCTAATTCAAAGTATGTTCAAACACTGATGGCCACTAACCTTGAAAGCTTTTGTCTTTGGTGGACTAGCAGTTGTGCAGACAGCAAAGATCACATACAGCGTAAAGAGCACAAGAGCCAAAGCCGAAGCTACAAGGAGGTAGGGAGGAACACCAAGGCGGCGAGACACACAGCGTACCACAGATGGGTCCTGGGAGTACTCGTCACTCGTCACTACCGAGGAAAATTTTTATTGTAGACCCAGTTTTGTAAAATTTAATATAGATCAATAGTTCTGACTGATTTGTTACTTCTCACTATATATATCAAAGGATCATATGTAGATAATCTATAAATTAACCATGGTAGATCTGGATACATTAATTCAAAAGTAACAGTTGTAAATGTATATCAATTTCAAGTTTAAGGGTCACTAGTTCCATGTTTTCTATTGTCACACACCTAAAGAAATGGTTAGTTGCATTTAACCAAAACTCTAAATTCCTGACCCAAAATAAAAATTTACTATAATGAAGTCATATGTCTCACAGACTAATGATGTGATATGATTTCACTTGTTTTCTGTAGTTATTTGCCATGACATGATTTCACACTACCCAATGCAAATGGGTCAAGCTTTTTTGTAAATCAAATGCATTTCCCATGATACCCTAATTACAAATGCAATTATACTGGATCTAGTAGTTCATGGCAACTGCCAAAAGGCAAACATGTCTTCTCCCATCTTTAAAGAATAACCTATAAATCCCCAAAATACATCCAAACCAACAAAAACAGGAACTCACATTGCCTTGATTCGGCCTGGAGTCCCTGCATAGGTGAGTCTCCATCTGCAGCCTCAGGCAAGATTTCCAGCATGATCTCAGGCTCTGACTCAACAGCCACAATGGAGCTGTCATCGCTCACAAAGTATGTGACAAGGGATGTGCGGACAATGTGGACAGCGCCAACAATGGAGGAGTAGACAGCTTGCATCTGCATTAGTGGCTTCAACAGGTGAAGGGTTGGTTTCTCTTCTTCTTCTTCTTCCTGAAATGGGGAAATAGAGAGAGAGAAAATCAAGGTAGAAAAAGGCATACTAGAATATCATATTAATGAAATATTGTGTCAACACAACTTTGATTGAATTTTCAGGTTGCTGATATTAAAGTCTGCTTTTGAAACTGTTACTTAATGTTTCAACAAAAATCAACAAATGACTATGGCACTTCATGAATTAGGAAAAGGAATTCACTTTAGTTTTATCCTGTGATGTTCGTTCCTGGGCATCGCAGCCAGCCTTGCAGGCAACTGTGCTGTCTGAAGTTTCATTGTAGGCTTCAACACAAGCTGGAGACAAAATGCTTAATCAATCAATAATGTAACATAAAACAAATGACAAATGAGTATATAATATGGTATGGAGAAAACAGCTTTTTGGGGTACAGCAATAGTAGTTTCACAAATATAATGGGGAAGGGAGGGAGGGAAACAAATGATGATGATGATGATGATGATGATGATGATGATGATGATGATGATGATGATGATAATAACAAATAAATAAATATATCAGGTCTGGAGTCAACTATGAATTGAATTAAAAATGAATTGGGTGAAGAACAAAAAACTGATGGGATAATATCAGGAGGGGGGAGAGGGAGGAGAGAAGGAAAAAGGGACAGGGAGGGAGAGAGAGAGAGAGAAACTGACCCAACTTGATATTAATGAAATGATATGTACTGATGACTGAATTAGACAGAATAATGTATATCTGCAAATTCAATATTGTAGCATATATGCTGAAATTAAACCATTGCCACTGGGTATATATATTATCAAGTGTAGTTTTGCTTTGTCTCCATAAGCTTTCAGCCATTAAGGAGTAAATTAGTAGACCATACATGATTTCCCTATTCCTCCTTTATTTTAATGCTATTGATATTGATATGATCATTATCATTATCATAATTATAATTATTACCATTACTACTATTATCATTACCATCATCATGCTATCAAAATATTAATAGCAATAAAAGCTAAATAGTATCTTTCCAAAAATCAAGGAAAAGTGAAACCAGGTGGGACAGGTAGTACTAGTACTTGACTCCTTGGTGACTACCTAAGCTTTTGCGGAGCCATCTCTGCGTATGGAGAATAAATAAAACCAGATCAAAGTGAAAATTGCATGTGAGTAAGTGGGTTAAAAGTAAAATAAACAGTTCACTATCACAAAATGTGTCAAAAATATATAAAATGATGTAACGTATCAAATCTCTGTCATCTTATTACGAAACTACTTACTACATTATCCATGTTTTACAGAAAGGCATTTAAGATTTACAAACTTAGCTCCTGTCAGCGTGCTGGTTTAAAGATCTTGTTGATAAAACACACACATTCCATACATGTGCTGCCTGGTCTTGCCTAATGCTACCAATTCAAGTTCTTTTCCTACTTCCTGAATGAATCTGATAAAAAATTTTGTTTTGATTTGGTAACCTGACTGCCCTGCCCTGTTACCATAATTGGAAGTATTAGTCGACCATTCCTCAGTAATTTGGAGTCATTCATATTAAACGACTTTACTTCAGGTTGGACAAAATGAAATGATTTGTATAGTAGAATATTTTTGATAATATTAAATCATGTTTCCCTTTTGTTAACCCAATGGTCCGGTATGGCAAAAATACATGTTATGTCCTCTGTAATTTTAGTTTATCAATTATATTTACAAAGAGATGACTCCAAAAGTGCTATGCCGCCAAAGAGTTCATGATAAGTCATACCCATCTCATCTGTTTACCCTTTTCCTTGATTTTTGTAATGTTTAAAAACTCATATTATTCTTCTATTATTAGTAGTATTTGAATAACATTCTAATAATCACTGTCAATAATAATATTAATAGTATTAACATTAACAGCATTATAAAAATAAAATAAAACAAAAGCGAAGAGAGAAGATGAAAAACCTACATCCCAAAGTCCCCAAAAAAGGGAAATCAGACCGTCAATAGTACCTACTAATTTACTAATTGGAGACTGAGCATCTATGTACAATTTTTTAAGATAAAAACTTTAGTGAAAAATGCATAATTCTGGGGCAAGTAGGTAAAGCTATTGGTTGCAGTTCTGTGTATTGTTGACAGATTTTTTTTTTTTGTATGAATTTTATTACATTCCGATGGCTCCCAAAGTGCTCAGCCACTACATCAAACACACATGTACCCAAACTCTCACCATAACCTACAATTGTAACATGTTGTCTTTACAGGATTTGCGTCTTTCCCATCCACTGCATTGCCATGGCCTGGCCCATCAGAGACAAATTCACTGATCGTGTAGAATCGGCAGCCGCGCTCACAGGCATCATTGTTGCTGCTCTGAAAGGTTGAAAAGGCTGCAATTAGCATACTTTCCTCAATTACAACAAAGGGAAAAGAGTAATGTGGCGAGTTAAAAGGAGCAGCAATATGAAATAGAAGTGTTAGAAGAAGAAGGGGGGGGGGGCAAAGTATGGAGGGAAAAGGAGTGTAAAGGAAAAGAAGAAATGCAAGGGCCAAAATAGATGGAAAAGTGGGAAATGATATGCAGAAAATGGGAATTAACATAAAACAAGATTTTTTTTCAGGAAACTGATAAGATTGCTACAAGATTAGCCACAATAAACATTCCTCAACATAAAATTTTCCAAAACAAATTTCTATTCATAAAGATTAAACTAGGAGAGGAGATGAGGAGGAGGAATAGGAGAGGGAAGGGGAAGAAAATGTGATTTAGAAATAAGAAGAGAGAGGAGGAAGAATGACAGGAAGAGAAGAAAAGGGAAAGGGATGTAGAGGAAAAGGAAGAATATGATGATGATGATTAAGTTCATGATGATAAAGAGGAGGAGAGATGGGACAAAAGAAAAGAAGGAGGAATAAGAAAGAGGAAGGAAAGGAGAGAAGTTGGAAATGAGACAGGAGGAAAGGGAGAAAGAGAAAGGCTGGGAAAGAGACAAAGATAAGAGGGGAGAGACTGGGAGAAAGGAAAAGAGGAATAAAAAAGAGGGAGAAAAGAAAAGATATAGTGAGA